GATGAGACCGTTCCATTGGGGGAGTACAAAATCGGCGACGAAGAATCCTCAATAAGCGACCCGCAAGATAATGGAACAATTCCAATGTCTCTTCAGGCTGCATATGCAGTATTCACTCAACCGGAGAGAGTGCCTCCTGGCAGTGCCCTCACGCTTGAGAAATATACGGTGTATGCTAGCCTCAAACGTGCAGGGTATATTGTTCTACGTGCGCCTTGTTGGGAGGCTCCTGGAGGACCCAAATTCGAGACGCCCCTAGGAGGATGCTCGGCACCACAACCTTCTCAGTCAGCTAGCCTTTTTTCATCAACTTGGCAGCTCCTCCTAGCTACTGTGGAGAGGAGTACTAGGCCAGCCGGAGAGGCTCTAGCAGCGGGGCCACTAGTGGCTCCGGGTCTTTACAGAAGCTATCGTACGGCAAATTACTCTCACATTGACACAACAATTCGCATCTCCGTTACAACTAACCACACTCTCAGATGATATCTACCGCCGCTTAATAGTAGTTCCAAGTCACGATCCATCGCAAGCCAACTCCGCAAGTCCGCGGAAGGCTGAAACGAATTGCGAAGAGCGTCTTTCCGTAACGTATTATGTCTACAAACCCCAACCTACATTCCGCAAATCAGCTCCCGGGCCTCCGGACTTCTACGTTAGTGTTCTTTCCGCTAGGTCGCAGAACGTTCCCGAACTGTCAGCCGTTGTCTCCCTTCTTGATCAGACGCCTCAAACTATACCTCCCCAGCCGCAGGCACAGATGTATCAGCGCCTTAAACAAGGATACCGGAATGTTATTTTGGCCGTCGTGGACCAAGGCGTTGTCAGCTACATGCGTGTTGCTGATGCTGGATTTAGCACAATTCGACTGTGGGACAGAAAGCCCTCTCGAGGCAACAAGGGAGCCGGGAGAGGCGTCCGACGAGGTATCCTGAAGCGGAGCAGCTAAGGCTCGTAAAACGTACGGCTATTGTTCATTCAAAACGTACAGGAGAACACTTTGCAAGGTCATCACGCCAAGCAAATCAGATGGCAGGGGCTTGGCCTTTCTAGGTCAACACGAAGATTCGAGAGTGTCACGCAGAGGACAAGGTATTTGGTGCAGGGATCGGAATTACAGATTTAGCTGAGGTACCGTAACCGACTGCAGTCGGAAGCTACAAATTTACGCCTCCAAATTTCTCACAGACGTGAGGTCGACCGTGAATGAATAACCTAGCTAGAAGCCAGACTTGGGAAGCCCAGTTGCTATGCTTACTTGAGCTCCCCGATTTGTGACTTGAGTGAATAGGGTATTTTTTGGTGGACCCAAGGAAGCATTCAAATTGCCCGGGTCTATAAACCGCCAGAAGAGTAAGGGTTGGTATTCTTAGGCCCAATACACTGCGTAAAAGCCTAGTTGTGACTAGAGCTAGCACCTCTTAAACCAACCGAGAAAAAATATCAGAAGGGACAAATGGCAGAATTCCAGCATAACGGTAGTGTATTCGAGTGGTGTTTCAAGTGACGACTCATGCGTGTGAAAGAGTTTTCTAAATTCGAGTGGTTTGAGCAAGTCCAGTATTCTATACCTAGCTTTTCCCCCTCTGATCAGTACATTGGCCGCGCAGATTGTGATTGTAACTGTACTTTGGACCTGCCATTTCTAAGAACTCACATTGCATATATCAGTATAGGCAGGGTATGTAAAGCTGATAAATAGTTTCAAGTGCTAGATATTACCAATCCTTAAAAGTAGAGAACTATATCAATATTACTAAACGCGGCGATATGAAACACCTCGCATGCAGCCAATGATATACGAGTGAGATCTTACGTGTTTGCTTGGGATCGAAGAGTAAAACATAAATAGTCAACGTCAGGGGGCCCATATTTCTTTGTCTGTCCATACGCCCCATCCCTTTCGCCACGCGAACTACTTGGGTCTTCGAAGCTGAAGGGGTGTAGTGGCATTGTCACGGCAGGAATAGCTCGCAACTCTTTAGATCTCTAGGAAGATTGGGCATTTGTTTGTGCATTACGACGAATATATACATGGCTCCGTTGGACAGTAAGGGGCCGTCATTCGCAACATTGTGCTCACCTGCGTTCGTCAAGTTTCAAATTCCGTTCCCCCCACGGCCAAAATAACGGCCATGCTAGCAACGATCAAACCACCAGCGCCGAAAGCTACGAGCATGATGCTGCCTCTACTCGCGGGGAACTTACCCCTGATGACGTAGTGCTGACTCTCGAAATAGCGGTGAAAGCCAATAAAGAGAATAGCAACGGCGATGGCAACAAACGTAGCACCCAGGGGCTTGCCCACCGAGGCAAGCTTGGTCTGGTCAAGGCTGGGGTCGTTCTTGGAAATGGTTGTGTTCAGGCGGAAGAGTTGCGTAATGGCTACGCCAATGCTGGCGAAAGAGATTGAGGTTCTGACCCACGCGAGAAAAGTGCGCTCTGCTCAAGCACGTAGGTTAGCACGGCCTGGTCACAGGCCGGAATGCTGAGGACGTCGCCGCGACCACCCATGCAGGAGATGCGGCAGTAATTGCGGCAAGGCGTGGGACTGACCGAGGGCCAAGTGGTCTCTCGCCACGCTTCCTTTGTTGTCCAACTCCACGCTTCCGTACTGGCGCTTGAGTCGATCCCACGGGGTCGGCTTGGCGGCCGGCCGAGCTCCCGCAGAGGCAGCGGAGGGCTCCCGCCGGATGCCGGAATTGGGCGCGACGGGCGGGTCTGGCGCGGCGGGCTCATCGTTTAGCGCGGACGTGGTTGGGGAGCTGGAGCTGGAGCTGGTCGAGGAGTAGCTGGAGCGCCGCAGCCTCGTGGAGGTCGCGGCCGACTCGGGCCTGTGCTGAATCGACGCGCCCGCCGGCCCCTGGTCCTGCATGCCTGCTGCAACGGGATGATTAGGGCTCTAGCATCTCCGGGGGACGGGTTCGCGTTGATGCTAGATGCGCACGGTAGGTGTAGCTATACGCATCACGGATGTGGGTAGTACGGCGTTAGTAATCAGCCGGGCTATCATGTGACTACCGGGTGCGGCTAGCTTACGTAGTGGGGCCAAGTATACATACATACCTTGACCCGCCTCGGCTTGGCGCAGCGGCGCTAGACCCGACGAGGCCGGCGGACGCGACAAAGTCCGCGCTTGGTCCCGCCCTGCCGAGGCGAATTATTCAGCGCCGCGGGGACAAAAGCCCTTCATCACCCGAGCGCCATCCCCGCCACCATCCAGCGACCTCACAGTCCGCCGCTTCCCCTCCATTCGAACCCGATCCGGCCTGCATCTCGCATCGCGCCCGCCGTCCCCGCGACCAGTCGTTCGCTTTGCGCCACCACACCGTGCCAGCATCGCCAGCACGTCACCCTCTCGCCCCGTGCCCTCCAGCTTGCCCAGTCCGACGTCCCGCTGCCGGGAATGGCGGGGTACCACGGCCGACGTGGCCCCAACGTTTCGCAGTACATCGCCAGCCTCAACGTGGTCCCATCTGCCGCCGACATGGCGTCCTCTACAGCTGAAGAGGATTTCTTCCAAAACGATCTGGCCCAGTTCACCAACATCGATTTCGTGGACCTGGACAACTTAGGAACGCCGTTCGACAGCCACCCCAATCCCGTTCCCTACGATCCCGTAGTGGAACAGGAGGCTCGCCGCCAGAACGCTTCCGCTTTTAGGAATCTAGCCAAGCAGAACGTCGATTTTCTAAATGGTGGGTAGCTCTATTCCGGAATGTCTCTCGCCGTGATTCCGTTGCTCACCGAGTCGTCAGACGACTTCCAATTCTCCGGTTTCGGTGACCTTCCCAACATCGGGAGCGAGCAGGCTTCGAACCACGTAGAGCGCGATCAGCAGCAACAAAAACAGCAACAGCAGCAACAACAACAACAGCCATCTCCCCTGTATCCTTTGCAGCTAAACACATCCGCCACAAGCCCAACAACACCAACCACCGTCGCGAGCGGACCGTCTCCCACAGCTGGAGACAAGCGAAAACTCGATGCCCCGAGCTCAAAAGCGTCGGGAGGGGCCTCGAGCCCTATTGCATCGGAGGAAGCCGCGCGCCTCGCCGCCGAGGAAGACAAGCGCAGGCGAAATACTGCTGCGTCCGCTCGGTTCCGTATCAAGAAGAAGCAGCGCGAGCAAGAACTCGAGCAGAGGGCAAAGAAGATGACTGAGCGGGTTGGTGAGCTCGAGGGGAGGGTGAAGGAACTCGAGACTGAGAATCGCTGGCTGAAGAGTCTAATCATGGAGAAGGGCGAGCGGGAGATGGGCTCAGCTAGTGGAGATGTGAGGGAGTTGTTAAAGAAATTTACTTCAACCGGAAAGGATTTGTCGATCGTTGCCAATCTGAGTGGTTCGAGTCCTAGGGATGAGGGAAGGAGTCAGGTCGAGAAGAAGGATGGTGTCGGGACGGTCAAGGTTGAGTCTAGTACCGCGAAGAGTTAAGCAGAGTCAAGAGCTTTTCGTTGTTAACACATTTTTTGGGTATTGCGTGGTGGCATTCTGCAGTATTTTTGTTTTCAGTTTCAGTCTTCTCGGGGTTGGTTAAGCAGTTCAACAGTTCGCCGCATCCCGCAGACATGGGTAAGCAGGATCCGAGCTGAGTTGCAAAACGAGATTACGACTCCTCAAGCGCCTGTTGGGGTGATATTAGCATGCACAAAGTTAGAACCGCCCAGAGTACTAGAGCCTTGACGGATATTTCTGGCGCATCAAAACCTGATGACTGTCCCAGACTCAAATGCAGCTCGTTGGATCTGATCCGCGATCTTGGCTCTGTCTCTATGCGTGAAGTAGAATTGATGCAAGTGAGGCTCCTTACGTGTCTTTTGTACATTGCGGCCCATATCTAGTGCTGGACTCTAGTCACGCGAGTTCCGTGGGCGCTTTGCGCGTCTCTTAACTCCTCTCTTAACTCCTCTCGCGTCTCTCAGGATTTATTTGAGCTTGTCCAACAGTATATTGTTGCTATTATATTGTAAATTGCGCCATTTCGTGCTATGAATTGCTTGCAGGCTCCATGGCCCAATGGCAAGGCGCTTGACTACGGATCAAGAGATTATGGGTTCGAATCCCATTGGAGTCATTTATTTTTGAACATTTTGTCTAGGCCGTTTGAAGCCTACAGCCGGGTTATAGCCGCCACCAACCGGTAGGTAGCATGTGTGCGCGTAGGTGAAAAAGTACTACTAATAGATGCGCTTTGCTTTTTCAACTTATAGTGCTCCATACGTAGGCGAGTCGTGGCAAATTCCTGCGTACATTCGACCGACCTAGCGGCTCCCAACAGCTCATCAATTCAGAGCAACAAAGTCTATCCGCTTATGCAAGGGAGAATCGTAGGACTTGGGTTTTGGGTCTTTTTGTAGTCATGCTATTCGATTGTCTCATCTGCCATTTTCTATCCTTTTCTTTCCTAGGCAGTTTGTGCTTTGCATCTGTTCAAGTACCATTGCAACACGGACGCGACCCAGGCACGGAAAGGTATGACCCGTATGACGGGCCTCTGGACGGCGAATTCGAGGCGCTTGTCTCGGAAGCCATGGGCAGGTATCATGTACCTGGGATATCAGTCTCCATTGTAGACAACGATCACACTTACGCAAAAGTATCTCACATCGCACTAGACACCCAAGGTTCTTCTGACGGCCAATCTAGGGATATGGCACCGCGGTTTTCCCAAGCACGCTAGCGACTCCTGAAACTCTCTACTACGGTGGATCAACCACGAAGTCATTCGTTGCCGCGGCCATTCAACTCCTCATAGAGGATAGTGCCAACTCGTCAAACCCACTACGCCTCCGTACGCCGGTCTCGGACCTTATTCGCGAGGATTTTGTGCTCCCCGACAGCTATATGACCACGCATGCTACGTTTGAAGACCTGCTTTCCCACCGTACCGGAATGCCACGACACGATTTTAGTTACGGCGGTGCGAACCTCACGGTTAGGGATATAGTCAGATCTTTGCGCCACCTGCCTCTGACTGCTCAAATTCGAACCGAGTATCAATACTGCAACATGATGTATGTCACTCTGCAGCATATCATTGAGACGATCACCGGCCGTTGGCTAGGTTACTTCCTGCGGGAGCGCGTCTGGGATGTCCTTTCAATGTCGCTGACTTTCTTCTCTTTGGGAGACGCGCAAGAGGCGGAGGCATCTGGTCAGGCCGTGCTTGCACATGGATATTACTGGAATGACACCGGTAGGCAATTCGTTCCTCAAGAATATTTAGACGAGAGCGCAAACGGCGGCGCTGGGGGTGTCATCAGCAATGTGGTGGACTACGCAAGATATCTACGAGCCATGATGGACATGGATCCACGGCTTCTGGCCACAGAGAGTTACAACGCCCTCAAAACGCCTAGGTCCTTCGCTGGCAGGGCAGAGCTCTGGACGGGAATGTCTTCGTACAGTCTCGGGTGGGGATATAGTATTTACGGCGACGCCGAGGTGTTGCATCACAACGGCCTCGTTACTGGATTTGCAACCACCATGTGGTACATGCCCTCCAGGAAGTTGGGTATGACTGTCATGGCAAATGCCGACATGCCGGGATATCGCGCAGGCTCCGTGTTAGCCTATTCTATGCTGGAGGACTTGGTGGGAAGCCCTGATGGAAGTAGAGTTGACTGGATTACAAAATTTGACCAGCAGATGGCAGATCAGGAAAGGCAATGGCGAAACGCCAAACAGAGACTTTTTCCAGATGCCCCCCCGCCAGAGAATGCGAAACCCCCAACGCTTCAATTGAGCGGTTATACAGGGACTTTTAACCATCCGGGATACCAGAACATCACGTTAGACGTATCGCGCGACATCCTATATTCGAACAAAGATTCCGGGGAGCATTTGGTGGCGGTCAATCTCCAAAAAACTTGGAAGCACATTCTGGACTTCGAACATATTAGTTCCGATTACTTCATGGCTAGAGTTCGTCCATGGGAAGGGAATCCCTCGGAGGCATTTGAAAAGATGGACGTATTTCCTGCGGAGTTTCAAATCGGGGTCGACGGCAAAGTAGATATGCTAGGGATTGCATATGAACCGAAGTATGAAGGTAAAATTTGGTTCAAAAAGATAGAATGCGGCAGTTCGTCACTGTAGTACTGCCCTTATATATGCTTCCTCTATTCTCTATATGCACGCGGATGTATATCTAGCTCTAAATATTGGATCGCGGGAATGACCACGACCTGCTGCTGGCGTGAGATCAAGATTATGGTGCCGATTAATACTGAGACTTGCTGCGTGAGATTGCACCATTAGCTTTAGAACTAGCAGCTCCGCACGTGTGCGAGGTGCTTCTGGTGGGCATGCTTCCCATCGTTCCACCCAACAAACCGTTAAAACCACGGATTCGGGCCGTGAAGTACGGCTATCATGCCAATAACAATCGCACAGCTAATTCATAGACTCATGTTCCCATGACCACTCTACCAGGCAGTTAAGCAACCATAATCCGACACCCGCTTCCGAACCTAGACAGGCGAGGTGTACAAGAACAACTGGTAACCCAAACGGGCGGATCTCTATATCGTAAAGCCAGCTGATGCCTTCTGTCGAGGGTCTCCAGCAGCATCAAAAGTCCCGTTTCGTAACCGCCGCAATGCCTGAACGGCAGTTGCCGGTGATATGAAAGTGACATTGTGGCCCCTCTCAGCCATGAAAGCAACGGTCGAAGGGTCATAGCTGTTTTCGAACTGGACCTCCTCGGGATGTAGTTGATCGTGTAGCCTTGGAGCAGCTAGAGCCTCTTCGGCGGACTCACCTCTATCGATGAGGTTGATGAGCGCCTGGACGGTGCTGGTAATGATTCTCGACCCGCCAGCGGCGCCCGTGACAGAATGCAAGGAGCCGTCCGGACTGACGACAATGACAGGGGCAATGGACGACAAGGGACGCTTGCCCGGGCGTACGTAGTTAGAAGGCGTGGGCTTGTATGCCCACTTATTTTCGGTTCCTGGAGTGGAGAAATCGTTCATCTCGTTGTTCATGATGATGCCCGTTTCTGGAACCATTATCGTCGATCCGAACAGCAGGTTGATGGTCGAAGTTAGCGAGATAGCTAGCCCAGATGCATCGGCTGTGACGACGTGGCTGGTCCCGTGTGTAGCCGGGAGGCCGAAGCCGTCCGGGTCGTAGAAGGACGCGTTCTGGGTACGGTCGTCCAAGATCTTGCCCCGGATTGCAGCCGCCGTGTCGCCCGCGAGCATCATGGCCTCATAATCGCTCATCCCCTCGACGAAAGCCGGGTCGCCCAGCTGCATGCGCTTCTCCGACGTCAGCCAGGGCTCCTATGCGTGCCACGTCCACGTAGGTGCAGACTCACCTGGGCATAAGCAAACTTCATGGCCTCGTCCAACCTGTGGGTGCTTAGATTGGTCTGGGCCGCATCGCCGATGTCTTCATAACCCTCGATGATCTTCATTATGCTCAGGGCAACCGCTCCGCTGGCAGGAGCGCCACAGCTGTGGAGTTTGAAACCACGGTAGTCTATGTCCACCGACTTGTAGATTTCTACGTCGTAATTCAGCAGGTCTTCCAGCGTCATCGTCCCGTTAGCACTTTGTACGGCGGCAATCGTTGCATTTGCCATCTCTCCCGCGTAGAACGTGTCCGGCCCGTGTTCCGCGATCTGCTGAAGCGTCCTGGCATATCTCTCTCGCGTCATGTCCTCGTGGAGCTCCACCCGTCTTCCCTGCGGCGCAAAATCAACGGCCCAATTCGGATCTTCCACCAGAAAATCATAGCCGGCGGAAACCGCAGCGTCCATGTACCGCACCGTGTCTTCGGTGACCGGGAAGCCGCAACGGGCAACTTCAATGGCAGGCGCCATCACCTGGCGCCACGGAAGCGATCCGTAGTTCTCGTGCAAGTATGCCAGGCCTTTGACTTCTCCGGGCACTCCACTGCGAGCAAGTCAACAAGCGACATCCAACTGCAACTCGGGCAACGTAGCGGCGGATTACGGACCTTGCTAGACCGCCTAGTCTGGATGCCTCCGTGTTGTTGACGAACATTTCCTCGAACGCGGCCGCCGGCGCAGCCTCTCTGAAGTCGATGGCCTCCGTGCTGCCGTTCGGAGCCCTCACAACCATGAAGCCGCCGCCGCCGATCCCGCTGTGGTACATACTGAGCACCCCAACGCAAAACACCGTCCCGACAAGGGCATCGGCAGCATTTCCACCAGCCTGAAGCAAATCCGTCCCGATCCGACTGCATATGTCACTTTCGGAGGCGACAGCTCCCAGCTTGCCTGCCGGGGCACGGGATCCGGGCGGCGATGACGCGACGTCCGAACCGAGATAGGTGGTGAGGAGGGAAATCAAAGGCTTCATGACGGATCCGGAAGCTCTAGCGGCCGCGTCTGCCTAGAGTAGAACTCTACAAACGCGAGATTAGGGAATAGAAGTTACTGATACTCGTACGAAATTGGGGAAGGGCCAGGCGGGTACTAATGGTGCTAGACGTCCGACAGCGCAGTGTTGCATCTATTAGGTGTAAGACTTTCAGGGAGTAGGAAGCGGCGTTTAGATAAACGGGGCAAAAGAAGACTATAGGCAAACTCCAAAGGGAAAGTATCGCTGGACTGGAGAAAAGCTGGGAGTGTTCATGTTGTGCCAGCAGCAAGCATGTTTACACCTCATCGTGGCTTATCGATGGCGCGTGCCACCTATGTATGCACGAGGTAGAGTGATACCCGACCTAGTACAAATACAGAAATGTTCCCATGAACTGTACTATAGCTGAGTGGTCCCTCTCCAAATCTCAAAGGATTGATGAAATTGACGGGCAATACATCGCCCGGATGCAACCAGCTCGAAATTCTGCCCGGATGATTGGTGTAGCGTAATGGCGCGGTTTCGAACAACCGTTCATTGTTCATTGGTCGCACGTGGAAAACAAGCGAATGTCAAAGCAAGCCAAGACCGATGACACTCAATAAGACTATGTAATACACGCAAGGAGAGCCAAGGCTACCTAATATCAAAGTTCGGCTGCAGGGGAAGGGGCAGTCTGCGTCGAGCAGAGCTGCAATGAGGAAAATTAAAACAATATTACTCTCGTCTTTCCAAAGGG